ATGGATGAATGAATGAATGAATGATGGATGAATGAATGAATGAATGATGGATGAAAAAATGAATGAGAGAATGAATAAATGAATGACAGAATGATTAAATGAATCACAATCAAATGAAAGAGTAAGAGAGTGGGAAAGGTAGCTATTGAGTGGGGTGTGTGGGTGTGTGGGTGTGTGGATGGAAGAGTTAACAGATGAATTAACAATCAATAATTTAAAGTCAATAAAGATTAAGTAGATAAATTTATGGAATAAAAAAAGGAAAGAAAATGAAAGGATAATGATCTAAATGGAAATTAAAATCTTGATGAATGGAAAACTTGGAGGAATAAAGGAAAAAGGAAAAAACATCAAACGTAAAATTGTAAATGCATTAGTAGAGTTTGCATCATTTTCCAATATTGGTTTTACCTTCCGGGAATATTGCAAGATGAGGCCATAGTCCTTTAGAGCTGGTTCTTCTTTTGATTTCAGCGATAGTGTTTTGTCGAGAGTTGACATCATTCCTTGCAACATAGATAGGCTGCATGCAGCGTAGTATAGCTAGAGTAGAAAAGAATGAGGACACCTTTTATAAAATACACTGTATCAAAAAAATTTTTGATACAAAATATAAATATATAAATTAATTTTATTCTCTCCCTTCCCCTCCACACACACACAACACACACACTCACTTATCTATTTAGCTTTTTCCTGCAGAGACAGCCAGAGGCACCACAAAAGTTTTTATAAATTACTTTGTGCCTTGTATTGTAAGCACAGGCACTGAAGATGGTCGTGGGTCTTTTGCAACCACCTTTTTACAACCAACCTCAAGTAAAGACAGACGTGGCCTACAGTTTTAAGTCCTTGCCAAGAAAACTTGAAGGTCTAACCAGATGTAATTACAAAGGCAGTACTTTCATTGTCGAAACATTGAGTAAAAGGATGCTGCTTCTTAAGTACTGTTTGAGTGAACCACTTAAAATTTGAATATTTAATGAAGCCTAGGGTAAGGTCACAGTTAGTAACATATTGGAAATATACTGTCAACTTTATAACTTAAATATGTAACATTCAAAAGAAGTATTTCACCATTCAATTATTTGCTTTATGTAGAATCAATACTGAAAGTATTGCATCAGGGGTTAGGTGCACTTTAAACATTAGCCTCCGAGTCTGTCTAGAAAGACTGGGAAACAACTCCCCATATCATGACATGAAATAAAAAGATTTACTAACTGAGCTAACCAGAAATTTATGACACAATACCCTACGCACCCCTAAGAATAGAATTATACATTACCTCCAATAATAGGAATCTGATCATTTTCCCTTCTAGACACCCCTCCAGGCATACCGATAACAGAGAGGGCAAGAGCATCGATAAATGAAGAATGAGGAGCAACAACCAAGACAGGGGCCTCTTCTGAGCTACAAAGCTTTCCCTTGACCTTTACCCAGTGGAATCCAAAGAAGAAGAGACAAGCACGTGCACACAGCCTAAGGGGTACTTTCAATATTCTAGATTGCAAGGAAATAAACAATAAATTATGTATTGTTAAGTCTTGTTACCTCTCCTGCCCAGGGGGTACCCCGCCAGGATTTGGGTAGGGGTGTTCCGCTGGGATTCTGAAAGGGGTACCCTGTTTATGACAAAAAAACCCAAATTTTTAGACCCTGTTTATGACAAAAGATATAATTTATTGCACCGAGTTCCTGTTTCAATTATCATGTCAGCTAACGCATATGGTTTTTTTGACGACCGTATAATAACCAGTTTCGGTCAATACGAAAGTAGAAACCCTGAATATGACAGGAAACTCAGGAAGAATTTGGAACTTGAGCAAAATTGTATACCCTGTTCATGACAAGAAGCTCCACATATGGGAGTACCTCCCCCCCCCCCCAGGCTCTCCTATTACCTCTTTAACCTCTCCTTGGCTATACTTTGAAGTTCAAGATACTTCAAGCAAGTTCTTCCACACATCTCCCTATTTCAACTCAACAGAACTCCACTGTATATACCTCTTTACCTTGGACATAATGTTTTCCTATTTCAGACCACATGTCATTGCCTTAGGCACATGAATATTGATACAACTCAAACAAATAATCTTATTCTCTAGATAATGACACATGGACTAAAATGAGAAAACATTACGCCAAAGGTAGAGAGGTCTATTCCTATCTACTTGACAAAATTTAACAAATTCATTCTAGAAGACAAAATTATTAATGAAATTATAACTATATTTTAGTATAAAAAGTAACAAATATAGAGTACTAATAACGCAGGGTTGTGGGTTCAACAGCGCAGCGCAACCGTGATGTCATAGAAACGAAGACAAAGGCGAAGACAAACAAACTTACAAGTTTACTTTCAGCAGATAATTTTCACAGCCGATCACAGTTGATCTTAGTTTACATGGGTTATTATTGTAACTTTAAGTAAAAAATAATAAAATCGGTTCGTATAATCCTCATAGCGGTTAAACAGAATGCAATGTTTGTCCAAATCTTTAAGCTATTTTTAGAATCAGTGTGCTGCTCTATTCCACATTACATCTGGGATTCAGATTTTTTTCTTAATACTCCACTTTACAGTTTCGTTCCAAGCCAAGACTGGAGTTTCCATGCATGATAAAAAGTATAGTTTTGCTATGCGCGGAAACTGCAGCCTCGACTTGGAGTGAAATGGAGTATTTTCTATATGTCACATCGATTTCCAATATATACTATTATATCATATTGCTATCCTTAATACGCAACAACAATTATATTAAATTAAAAAAGATGGGTAGATGGATGAAAACATTAGAATAAATGAGATATGATAGATGGATGAATTTTTCACAGGAGCCAGTGATAAACCAAATTGCAAAGGGCAGCTTACGTTTCAAGTAATAATAAAATTGCTTGTGGACTTACTTTCGTATTCCAGTCAGGGGCTCATTCAATTTACCCTCTGTTAAAAATGCTGTAGCTAATGATGCCAATATACTAGCAAATAAAAGACAAATCACAGCTCCGACGACTCTTATTGGAAATAGAGTTAGTGTACAAATGACAACCTGTGGAATACAATTCGAATATCAAACTATGATCAGTCAGAAGAATACTATGATAGGAAGGCAGACCAACCAGATAAGATAACCTCTACATTAAGCTTCTGTATGGGAAGAACGAGAGAAGTGCTAGGAGAAGCATGAGGTTTAACTGAGTGCTTCTCCACACTTCTCAAGTGCTCTGTCAATCCCCTTGAGTGCTTTATAACTCCACRCAGCACAGCAAGCAAAGTTTTTAGTAATATACAGTATGAGTGGCCRTGTTGTATCAGATATACAAACTCGAGGCATAGCGGAGAGTTTGTGTAATGTTTAATACAAATGTAAACGAGCAGGAGTGTTTTATCGGGTATAAGACATGAGGCGTAGCTGAGTGGTTTTAGACCTGATAAAACACGATCTGCGAGTTTATTAAACGGCTTAAAAAACTCCTGATGTAAGTTCTCATATTGTACTGAATTCTTTACGAAATGTTTCAAGTTTGATAGAGAAAATCCAAGTTAAAGTTTATGCAAATGAAGACCGACCTATATCAGATATAAAACCTCCTTCACAGTCATGATTTCTATTGTGTTTCCTTCATGAATTATTAATGAGTTTTTTAAATATCGGATACAACACGGACACAAATACTGTATACTACTTATCAAACATCTAGGTTAGTTCCTTTGTGTTTCACTAAAATTTTCAAAATTAAAGTGAATCTGGCCAAGAAAATCCAACTTAAAGTTTATGCAAATGAACACAATTTTGTATCAGATTTACGACATTCTTCACGGTCGTGATTTCTGTTGTGTTTTCCTCATGGATTATTAATGAGTTTGATAATTTCTTTTACGAAATACTGATTAAACAAAACCATTATTTCAGATAGAAATGACACAACTGAAAGTGCATGTGCTGCGTGCTCTCATAAAGCACACACTCAACCAATCAGAACACAACATTTGTATATGTAATAGGACTCCATAGAGGAAAATTCCGAGGACTGACAAAATTGGATGAGGCCGTAGGCCAAGTCCAATTTGGCAGTCGGAGGAATTTTTTGAGTCTAATTATTTCTTGATTGGGGAGCATGAAATCCCATTACCTATTAATTATATAGCTGCCTAATTAATCCCATATCAACAAGACCTGTCCAATTAAGAGAATAATTGCACAGTTACCTATATGTGATTAATGAGAAGCTCTATAATTAATAACAGTTATTGTATAATAATTAACAATAAAAGAGCTTTTTTTGTGCTCCGTTCAGTAATAAAGCACTCAGGAAGTGGCGTAAGCATGAAAGAAGTGTAAGGAGAAGCAACTGAGCCGTAGGCGAGTGCTTCTCACACTTCTTGAGTGCTTACGGCGCTTCCTAAAAGCTTTAGGAGCACGGAAAAAGCTGTTTTATTCGTTTTATTATATATTTACTAATTTTATTTCGGTAGAGTACAAACACTATAAGTGTGTAACATAATACCACTAAATACTGCTAAATTATGCTAATCCTATTGTATTCTATTGTTTAATTAGCACTATTTGCTACTAAATAGTGCAAAGTGTTGCACACTTTTAGTGTTTGTACTCTATTAAATTTATTTAGGCAAAAATAAAGACAGTCGAAGGATCTTGCAGCACTTCACGCGCGCAGATGGTATCAGCACTATGCTCTGTTCACTAATAAAGCACAAATTTAAGTTAAACAACACTAGCTACTGTAAATTTGAAAAAGTAGCCATAAGCTTATTTCGTGCTACGCCTTTCAGTTTATCGTGGATTTCGTTAAAATATTTCTAGATGCCATTGATTTGTTACCTGYTTGGTAACTGGACTCTTGAATCAATAACAACATATATTATTAATTTTTTAGCTAAATATACAATGCTGAAGTATTYATTCAGCACGATAAATAATTCACTTTCAATTTACGTTTCAGAGCAAAGGACAAACAGATGCAAGTTGTAAACTCACCTTGAACTTGTCGAAAATCGTCAAATGAAGGCTGTAYGAAAATGGATTTTGTACTTGAGGAATAACAAGGGATTTCTGCCTGAGAAAATGCTTGTCTTTATGCTTTGAACTCATCTTAAAACCGGGTAATCAGGCCATAAATTTAAAGAGAAATATAGGTCACCAATATAAGAGATTTCTGTAGGTAAACAACAATTCAATTAAAATTAAATCATGCGCGGGAAAACACGCGCGGGACTGCCTCCAACAAAACCATATATGGTCAATAAGTCCATATATAGATATAAGCTGAAACCTAAAAAGCTCGTGACGTCATTCGTCAATGAGAAGTTGTAGCTGGAATACGTCACGACTTTACAAACTCGATCTCGCCCATTTAATTTCGCTCTTCGTTTTATATTTATAAACAATATCAAGGGCGAATGCAGGGGGAGGGTCGGGGGGGTCGCGACCCCCCATGTCATTCTTGAGGTCAAATGGGCCTTCTGTGGTAAAAATGCGACTGGGATTTCTTTGCCCACAAAATCTACCCCTGAGACCCGCCCTTCAAAAAAACCCTGGATCCGCCCTTGAATATTATTCTTATTTTTTCTTGGTTTGTTCTGAGCATTTTTCAATAAAATTTCAATAAAATCATTGAAACGTAAAACAAAGCCTCGAAATTTTACCCGTTCATTGAGAAATAGCACTTCTTTCGCTCTGCATAGTTATTTTTTTAATTTAGCCCGGTTTTTTTTTTGTTGTTGTTTTTTTTGTTTTTTTTTTGGTGGGGGAAAAATCCTTAAAACGGGCTAAATTCAAAAAATAACCACACAGAGCGAAAGAAGTGTTATTTCTCAATGATCGGGTAAAATTTCGAGGCTTTATTTCACGTTTCATTGGTTTTATTGAAATTTATGATGAATCCCCATACATTTCCTTATAACATGACACCATCTGACACCACAGAAACCAAGCTTGGGCTACCTGTGAGCAGGTAAGCGGGAAAAACATGACAAACTGCATGGTTAGGTTTTCCATGTATGGTCATGATGCCCTTATTTGATTTGTTTTCCAAGAAAGATCAGGATTCCCCGAAAAAAAGAGATATTTTCTCCAAAATCTCAAAAACATGGCTTCTAGACTGCAATCGCAGTCTTCTTTTGACAAAATTCGTAACGAACTCATCTGTTCTATATGTCTAGATCCCTTCGAAGACCCCAAGATCTTACCTTGCTTTCATACCTTCTGTAAAAAGTGCTTGGAAGATACGAAGAGGTCTTGTAGGGGTGCTCTTTTGTGTCCAACATGTAGGAGCAAGACCAACGTTTTTCTAGAAAGTGAGGTGGAAAAACTTCCAAATAACTTCTTGGTTCGTAATATAATGGAAACTCTGGCAGAAGAAGAAAAAGCTTACGTCTGCATTTGTACAAATTGTGATGATAATATCGCCGCAAGATGGAAGTGTCTGGATTGCAGGAGGTTTCTCTGTGATTCTTGTTATGAGGAGCATAACGAATCGTCTCTTTTTAGAGATACTCACAGATTAAGAGATGTTGATGAGCATGAAGACTTCGAAGAGGCGAACTCTAGTGTGTTTTCTAGTGGTTCGTTTGAGAAGGAAGCGAGGGAATTTCCAATGATGAGTTGTGAGAAACACTTGGACAAAGAGTGCGAGCTGTATTGCAAGGACTGTAAGAAGTGCGTTTGTACTGTTTGCTTTGCTGTTGAACACAGAAACCATGAAATGGGAATGATGAATGATGTTGCAAATGAACAAAAGGATGTAATCAGAAAATTGCTTGCGACGACACAGATAACGACAAAGGATATCCAAAAGACCATTGAAGAGATAGGCACAACAAATGCAAATATTGAGCAGCGCCACCATGATCTTGCCTGTCATGTTGAAGCTACAGTTGCTGAAATAATACATACAACTCAACAGAAAGCCACTGAGTTGTAYTTGCAATTAGATGAAGCTAAGGCGCAGAGATTTAAAGTAATAGAAGCACAGAAAATGTATCTGGAGTTAGAAAAGTTAAAGCTGGAAGGTGCATGCCAGTTTGCTAATGAGGTTCTTTCCTGTGAGAATCCAGCTCAAGTTTTGTCATGGAATGAGCAGCTACTGAAGCGAATGGATGAACTGAACCACGAATCGTACCAAGAGATCTCTCCTGAAGTGAATGAATTTATTGACTGTAGCTTTGATATCACAGATTTTAAAAGGTGCATCAGTARAGCATCAGTGTTGTCAAGCAATACCATCCCTAGCAACACAAAACTCACAACTAAAACTATCGCCGTTGAAGGAAAGGAAACAAGTCTTGAATTGATGACCATGGACAGGGATGGGAATCTTTCTTACAGTCCTTTAGATAAAGTTAAAGTTAAGCTATTCAATCCTAAAGGTGAAGAAGTAGATCTTACACCACTGGCAGACCTCCAAGATGGGAGATATGCAACCTCATTCATTCCTCAAGAACCAGGAAACCACAGAGTTCTGCTCAYGATAAGAGAAAATCAAGCTTGGAAGACACCTCTGCCAGTTTAYGTCTCAAGAGACTACATGATGACCCACCATGCAATCCATGGCTTTGGTACTAAGGGGGGAAGAGAAGGGGAATTGTCTGGCCCTTGTTTTGCGGCAGTAGATGAAGACGAAAACATCTTGGTTGCAGAATCACAAAACAACCGTGTACAGMTTTTTGATTCATTGGGGAATGTCAAGAAAGTCTTTGGACAAGARGGTAAAAATCTTGGTGAGTTCAGATGCCCAACAGCGACTGGGTTCTTAAAAGATGGATCGTTGGTTGTCCTTGATTCTTATAACTCCAGGGTGCAGATCTTAAGTCTTGAAGGTGATGTGCCAATAAGAAGTTTTGGCAAAGAAGGCAAGGGAACCAAGGAGCTTTATTACCCATTAGGCTTATCAGTTGACGAAAAGAACAGAATCATTGTTGCTGACACTGGCAACAATGCTATCAAAGTGTTCAACCCAAACGGAGACTTGATTTCAGTTTTTGAATCGAACGAAGAAGAAAAGTTGAATAATCCTCTGTCTGCAGTTTATTCAAGAGGGCAGTTCATAGTAGCAGACTCAAGAAATAACTGCATCAAATTCTTTTTCGAGGATGGAAGCTTGTTGCACACTCTCACTTCTATTAATCATGAAAGAATCAGTGGTCCTTGCCATGTATCAACAGATAAGAATGGTTTTCTTTTCATATGTGAGAAAGGGCGTCATGAYATCAAGGTGCTTGATCAAGAAGGAAAGCTGCTTATGGTCTTYGGTACAAGAGGAACAACAGAAGGGTATCTCATGAACCCTCAAAGTGCTGTGGTTACAAAATCTGGAAAAGTAGTTGTAGCTGATTGGGGGAACAATAGGATACAAGTTTTCTATTGAGATGAGGTTAAATATCCATTCAAAAGTTAGTACTATTTTTCTTCAGAAGATTCCTAAAAACTAACTTCATGGACATGCAGTAATAACATGTAGTACAGAAAAATCATAAGATTTGTTGGCTTTGTTTTACTACAAATTAACTCTTTCAGATTGAATCATGTTTTATGTGCACATGTTAATAGCACATGTATAGCATAGCGCGTTATACTGGTAATAATATATTCAGTTAAGTGTTATTATGAAATGACCAAGTCATTAGTATACAAATTTGTATAATGTTATTGTTTTAGTTGAGGGTGACACCATAAAGTCCAGCATTCAATGCAGTCAACTGCTGTTATAAAAATAAACCATGAAAATGATGGGTAACTTCTGGGCTTGGTTGTACGAAGGATGAATAACACTATCCAACAGATAAATCCTATCCTGACCACAGCATGGACTTATCCACTGAATAAGGATTTATTTGTTGGATAGCGCTGTTCACCCTTCGTCTGGCCCTGATTGCTTTGGTAACTTAACATAAGCAATTTAATAATAAAGAACGATCTGCACCATACAGTACGTGGTTGGTAAGTGGTCGTTAAGTAGTTGGTAAGTGGTCATTAAGTAGTTGGTAAGTGGTCGATAAGTGGTCGGCAAGGTAAAGGTAAAATACGGACGGTAATAGTAAGTGGTTGGCAAACAGAGTTAGGATTCTTTGATGCTCAGGGTACTTAGTCTCAATTKTGTGTGGAATGTTTCAATGTTCCAGTTAAGGTCAATGGAATTTTGAAGTGTTTGTATTGTTGAAGACATGCATTTTCTACCTTACTGTGGTATTTGTGAATGTTCTGTTGCTGAAGCGAGGCTAACCCTGAGTAAATGAGTCTGTAATCACGGGATACAGTAATATTGTCTATTTTACTTTTGCTAAGTTTTTAAAAAAAATTTTAAAATATTAGCTAAAGTAAAAGTTAAGCACTTCTGTCAGGGTACCCTTTGACAGCTAAGATGAAAGATGGAAAACAGGCAATTTGTTGTGTTATCTATTAAGCTTTGTAGTTAAAGTGCATATGCCATATATCATTGAAAAATGTAACTTACAATATCGTACAAATTAGTGCAAAGTCTTGCAGGTCTACGGTCTGCTGAGGTCTACTGAACTTTCTAGTTTGTGCATGAAGTCTTTTTATGAATATATGGTGCACTCTAATTAAAAATAAAAAACCTAGTTAAAATTGACAATGATTATTTTTATGATTTATAACCTGCATATAATAATATTAAGATCATATACACTCAATTGAAGAATCGTTGTCGGGTTCAGAAACATAGAACATAGAAGCTGAGACVGAAATGGCACATGGGAAATGATATAATTATATTATAGTTCATTCATTTGCGCTATCCATGCAGTAGTCGGTTTAAAATGCCAAACGCATATTAAAAACAGTGGAYGATGCCACGGGTCGCCAGTCACAGCATGCGTCTAATCTAATTCCCATGTGCCATTTCGGTCTCAGCTTCTATGTTCTATGTTTCTGAACCCGACAACGATTCTTCAATTGAGTGTATACATGCTTATGAATTAGACTACATTTAGTATTAAACCCATTCTTATTGATGTTCAAATTCTAAGAGATAAAAACGTTTATTGATGATGATATTTTTATTTACATTTTAGTATTAAAGCATATTGATTTTAAGGTGACTGCCTACTTTTGGAAATTGATTTAAGCTTTTNTACAAAAATCTATTTTTTCACGTGTTCCTGATTTAAACTTTTCCTAAAATGTCGATATAACCTTGATTTTTAGGAGTTTTTTCGAATGAGCTATCAAAAATATAGTGTCCCGTGCAAAATTTGAGGGTTTTGCCCTGTTGAAGCTCAAAACGCGTATGGTTCTTCAATAAAATCTTGTAGATTTTTCACCGGTTTTTGAGCGCGCGCACATCGTGGGCTCAAATCGAACGTTCAAAAGTAGGCAGCCACCTTAAGCACATCTTTTTAATTCGTAGATCAATTTGTATAAGAAATAGTTATCAGACTCATGATGTAAAGTCTGCTTTACTTTTAATTAGTTAGATATTGCTTTATAGTTCATTTGTATATCTACAATAAATGGTATAAATTAATCTGGATTTTTCATATCTTTTTTTGAACGAAATACATTAGGGCCCCGTCCACATGTATCCGCAAATTTTTGTATCCACAATTTTTTTTTATGGATACAAATTTTTGTGTCCATATCCTCAAATTTTACGAAAACGGATACCTGTGGACGGTGAAAACAATTTGAATATGCTGCGTGTGGACGCAAACATTTTCTTATCTGCAAAAAATAATTTGCGGATACAAAAATTTCCGGATACGTGTGGATGGGGCCTTTATATCTAGTAAGAGTTAAGTGTACCCAAATTAAACCAGTGAAAACCATATGTCAAACAAAATTTCTAGATTAAATTTCCTAATGAACTGTACTACCCCAATGCAAACGTTATTGCTAAATAGAAATTGATTTTCCAATACTTCCATTTAAATTTCGATTTCAATATCTAATTTATATAATCATGCTGGGCCTTTGAAACTGTTATGAAATCAGTAAAAAAATCTCACTAAAGATTCAAAACTAAACAAACGCCAATATAAAAGCTGCCGAGCTGAGATTTGAGGGGGGCTTAATTCTTGCAAAATTTCATAAAAGAAATGGGGAGCTGGGTGGACAGGGAGTATTTACAAAAGCGCTGTAATCAATGCAGCCCACCATGCACGTATATATATCATAAAAAAGTTATTTTTGAATTCAATTTGTTTCCATTAATTTTTTGATTGGGCCTGACTTGTGAAGGTTGAGGTAATTGTGATTAGGACCTTTAGTTAAATGCACTGACATACARTAAATTAAAAAACCGTTGGGTTGAAAAGTGAAGCTAATTGAGACGGTATTCTAGGTTAGTTGATATTCCTGTGCATTGAGTGTTTGCATACTGACACATTCAAGAGTGACAAAATACTTTGTTTGGTAACTTGAATCAATGTTGAGAGGTGCAAAACTGTTTACCCAGAACACACCCCGTTCTTTGCTTTGATGAGCTTTTTCAACCTAACAATGTTTTTTTCCAATTTGTTGTATACCAATAATGGCCACAGCAYTATTATGCAGCTTCACTAGAATCCATGTTCTCCAACAATGAAAGTAGCACAGTAAATTCAGAATGAAATGAAAGAAATTCATTCAGTTCATCTGTGGAAAAAAACATTGGACAGGCATAAAATTATTTCATGTTTTCCTTTAAAACAAGACTGAGTGACTGCATAAGGTGTAGCRAGGGGGAGCAAGGGAGTGTAGTGTGTGACTATATCCACCCCTCTTCGAGTTTGTCAAAATAATTATAGTGTAAATTTAAATTGGATGTTATATACTGGGAGAACCTATATGTAGTACTCAGTTGATGTAATGTATTCACAGAAAAACCTATTGTATTCTATTGTCATTATATCTATTTTATTGTATTAGGTGGGATTCATTTTTGTTAATGAATACATTAAATAAACTGCTTGCTACCTAGGCTCTCTTGCTACGTACTGGCTAGCTAGGTAACTCCCTTGAAATCATTGCTATCCATATCAATTTCTTACCATTTCTGCTCATGACATAATTATTGTTAGCAAACATATCATCAATACACTGCAGCGCACAGTCTATTATCTTCTGCTGGATAACTGATGCCATCTTCTTCCCAGGCTTGCTGTATTTGTGCAACATCTTTGAAATAAAAATAAGATTGTGAGGCTTGCAACTTGATTAGATGGACAGATCAATTTAGGCAAAGTTCTCCACACYATGTGTCAATGGCCTGCTCCATGGTATTTTGATCTGAACAAAAATGCACTCTTGATTCCCAAATGAACCATTACTTATTTTGTTTAGCTATGGTTATGATACATACCCTTAATGTGTTGTYGTACAATTTTCCCTGTGATGCCATTCTCTTCAAGCAAGTACTTCCAATCAGATATTGAAGGAATGTCACCTGACCAGAGTTTTGCTGTTATCAGAGACAATGGTGCAAAATCAGTGACTATTAGGCAGATAGGCAATATGCACCACTGGTACAAGTATATTAATATATACTCCTCCAACCAGTGGGCAATGATCAGAATAGTAACCTACCTGCAACCTACCAAAATACTACCAATACCTTACCAACRTCCTACTGACACCCTAACAACACCCTACTGGCATCCTAACAACACCCTAGTAATACCAATGCCCTACCACACTCTAATGACAACTTAACAACACTCTACCAACACCCTACACCAACACCCTACTGACAACCTACCAACACCCTACTGACAACCTACCAACACCCTACTGACAACCTACACCAACACCCTACTGACAACCTACCAACACCCTACTGACAACCTGCCAACACCCTACTGACAACCTACCAACACCCTACTGACAACCTGCCAACACCCTACTGACAACCTGCCAACACCCTACTGACAACCTGCCAACACCCTACTGACAACCTAGGAATACAACACTCTACCAACACCCTATTAATACCCTACCAACACCCAACCAACACCCTACCAGCACCTCAACAACTCCTGACCAACACCCTGCCAACACCCTACCTACCAACACCCAACCAACACCCT